GCTTCTGTGCATTTATATTTAATCAGTTCTGGAAAAATTCCAGTCACTATTTTTTCAATTATTGCTTTTAATCCAGTTTTTCTCATCTGTCCTTCTGCTTAAACACTTTTACTCTGTCCTGTGTTTCTAACCATCTCCTCTGTATTTTTCAGTTTATAAGCTCTGAGCTGCATTGTGGATAAATTATATTCTGACCTATCTTTCACTCCAAAAATTCTTTATTATGTTATATCTAATTTTCTATTAAACCTTTCATTCAGTTTTAAATTTTCATGATCATACTTCTTCAATTCTAGGAGTTCTCTTTGGTACTTTTCTAATCTATCGCATTTTATAGTTTCTTGTTCCCCGTATATCTTCAATTATAACTTTTATTTCAATGAAAGTGGTAGGCATATTATAGACTGTGTCTAATAATTCTAGTATTTGAAGTATTTGCAAGTTAATTTCTATGTTCTTTTATTTTCTGCTGGCTCTCACTCATGGTGTCATATTTCCTTGTGTGTGCAATTGTCTTTGTGTTTAAATTAAGAACATAAAAATTCTTTATATGAATAATTCTAGGCTTAGGACGAATAAACCTTCTTTCTTAGAAGGTTTGCATTTGGTTTTATTAGGCTCTGGGAGCACAGGCTGTCAATGATCACCTTAAATGAAGTTCAGTGCTAAACATCAAGTTGAAAGCTGAAGTTTCACACATGAAATCATCCATTTCCAGTTTACTTTCACCGTAAAGGTGTACTTCGTAGGGATGCATATCATTAATGCTAGGGTCTTCTATAAACTTCTCAGTTTGTTAGACTTTGATTTCCTCTCTTCTTTCATAAATCATCAAAATAGAGGTCTGCATTTCCCAGGATTCCAAGTGTTCCCAGGGAACAAACAGATTTGGGGCGCATTTATTTCTTTAGGTTATTTCAAACATTAACTGTGATATGACAATATATCACTGTCTTATTAGCTAATTGTTTTCAGTGGAAGTGTAGATCTATGTACTATTCTTATTAAAAATGTAAAATCTCAAGGATATTGTTATGTCTCAAAATCACAAGCTTTTAGCTTTCATGTGGTATGGGCAATTGAGTTGCTCAAGAGGATAGAGAAAAAATACGTATTTTTTGCTAGCTTCAACTGGTCAATATTAAATCAACTCTATAATACTGCAATCAATTTAAACAACTTCTTGGAAGAGACAATTTCTGTCACTGACACTGTAATAGCTCACACTTCTCTCTGAACCCCTATTCTAAAAAACCCCACATACCTTCTTTCTTACATCTGTCCCTTCTCTCCTCCTGTTTATTTATGTATTTGTATATTTCTACAAATGTAAGATATTATATATTATATGGATACATATGCACATATGTAAATCTCAGTCTCCTTCTTTCTGTTAAAACGTTTGGGGTTTACCAATGTGGTTGTATGCATACTTGATCCACCCACTCCTTTTGGTCACTGCACTGAACTCCTCAAAAACATGTTCCACATTTTATTCATCATTTACTGGTGGATTTGTATTCTTTGCTTACAAGATGAGCATTCTTACGCATTTCATTTGTGAAGCTGTGTAATAAGTTTTCTGGCTTATATACCCCAAAGCAGAATTGCTGGCTCATAGGGTATATACAGACAAAATGTCCCTAAATACCATAAAAAATATGTCAAAGTGGTCTGTACATGAGACTTCCCATTGTCCCACCTGATACTGCCACATTTCTCATCTTACACTAATGCTATGGGTATAAAGTGCTGTCTTATGTTAGTGCACTTTTCACAAACTAATGAGGTTGAGCATTAATTACTTCATGTTCTTTTCAGAGTGTTTTCCCCTTTTTTGAATTTCCTTTTCCTTTTGTCCTTTAAGGAAAAAATCTTCTTGGCTCTCCTGACATTTTTATTTTTGTGATCTGCAAGAGTTATTTGAATAATCTAAGTATTAATTCTTCCCAGTTAAAATGCTGCAAGTGGAAACCACAAAACTCTTAGAAGAAAACATAGGCAAAACTCTCTTGAATATAAACTGAGCAACTTCTTCATGAATATATTTCCCTGGGCAAGGGAAACAAAAGCAAAAATGAACAAGCTAAACATCAAACTAAAAAGCTTCTACATAGCAAAGGACACCATCAGTAGAACAAAAAGGCTTCCTACAATATGGGAGAATATATTCATAAATGACATATCTGATAAGAGGTTGACATCCAAAATATACAAAGAGCTCATGCACTTAAACATACAAAAAGGAACTAATCCAATTAAAAAATGGGCAGAGGATTTGAACAGACACTTCTCCAAAGAGGAAATATAGATGGCGAACAGGCACATGAAAGATGCTCCACATCACTAATCATCAGAGAAATGCAAATTACAACCACAATGAGATATCACCTCACACCAGTTAGGATGGCCAACATCCAAAAGACAAACAACAACAAA